TCAGCTTATAGTTGCAAAATATGTAAAACGAATTTATTAGGGCTTATTTTCAATTGTCTATATTATTTCTATGATTAATTGTGTTTACCACGCATAAAAATGGATTTTTCCCTTCATATACCCTTTGATTCCTTTATGATTAAATCTTCTCAATTTAGTTTAATTTTTTTAGCCTTGGAATAGTTCAGTTGGAATTTTTTTTTTTGAACATACGCGCGATGGCTTACATTATGTATACATATAGTGTGTCAAGTGTATGCTGTCTCTATAGCTCTTCCTCGTTTTACCGTCTATTTTAAACAGATAGAACGTCTTCCAATCACCAAAATTAATTTATTCGTTAGTCCTATTCAGATACAAGTTGTAGCAGACGTCCATGAACAACATACACAAGAGCAGTCACAAAAAACACGCTATAATGCGAAAAGTATTAAGTAATGTTGAACGCCAAAAACGATTTCGTGCTAAAAAAGCAGCATTAAGTAATAGATCAACTCAAAGTGGCTTTCATCAACCACCAACTAGTGCTGAACGTCAAAGATTATACAAAGCAAATAAGAAATTACGACACAAAATACACAAACTCAAGAAGAAGAGTTTACACAAACTCAAAAAACACACACAAAAAAAATAGCAATTTTGACGTAAATTACCACGTCGTCTTTTTGCGCGCTTTCCACGTTCAGGAACGGGTGTAAAATTAACACTTATACTCACCAATAAATTAAAAATCCAATAGGCACTATTAATAAAATGAAGGGCAACATATAGAGATGGTTGAAGGACCCCGTGTTTGTAGGCGTCGTTGGTGGTATTGCAGAGCGTGGGGTAATAAGTTTCTCATAATACACTACGTCGTGTTCTTGGCCTCTATATTTGTTCGTAATAATAAAAATAATACAATATCTGGTATCCGGTTTAATTAACCGTTTCTCGTCCAACCCGGTTATAGATATTGTTTTCGTTTCATTGTCTTTAACCTGAAAATAAACAATTAATCCATAAGTACATCTAAATATAAGTCAGTTCTAGAGGAGGAATTTGGTTGTTGGACTTGATCAACAAAATAGCTCAATTTTTGTTAGACTGTGTCAAAAACGTAATTTATATCTATATAAATATATCTTTGGCGCAAGTAGCCACAGACAAGATCTGCGCTAAATAGGAATATTTTCATCGTTACCCACAGAGCGTTGCGCTGCGGGTAACGATTAAAAATTTGAATTTTTTTGAATTGACTCGGCTGCGGTTTCTTTTTTAATTATTTTACAAAAGTTCCGAAACAAAATGAGCTTGGATTAGGTTCTTCAAAAGTAGGATTAGTGCGAAACCGAAGCATGTTTTTTTCTCTGAGGCTTGAGAAATTTTGAAAAAACACGTAAATCTAAAACTTTTTAGAAAACTGCCAACATTTCCTGATCGATGGTTCAGTTTCTAAAGAGGCCATTTAGTTCTCTCTGGAATGATGTAAAAATGAGCGTTCTTGCTCATTTTGCTTCCGGGAAATGAGCAAAAACGGCACGAAAAACATGAGATTTTTGCATAATCCTGCACCTATGTGTGTGATATTGAAATTTAGCGTTCTGGGTCAAAACTACTCGAATTTCCTCACTCATGTTGTGATCACTGAATCGAATTTTCAATTCTCTATCCAACGGTGCCAAAGCTAATGATTTGGCTCAAATGAAACAGAGCACGCTTTTCCAGATGCAAGTAACATGACTTCATCCATCAGATGTTAAAAGAGGCTCACTTAATTTTGATTCACTATGCAAACGCGTATGAAAGACTTCGATATGTAGCACAGAACGGAAAATGAACTGTCGTAAATAATAAAATATTTAATAAAATCTAAATAATTTAGACATATTACCTTTAGGACTTGCGAGATCCAGGTCAGACCATAGGGGTGACACAAGTTATCAGCCAACTTCTCATTTTTAATTGAATCCACATAAACAGGAATACTCTCGTTGAAGTCTTGTACGGCTACGGTGACGGTATAAGAGTCTAGTCTTTTATCTAGGTGAGGCAGTTTAAACATTATTGCCTTGTCTCCTTTCCCAAGCAATTTAGGACTCTGATCTATATGATCACCCAGCTCTTCTTTCTTCACCGTGGTTATAACGAAGTCGCTTCTATACTTACTATTCATTGATTGTATATAAAGGTTGTATTCCTGACTGTATGGCAGATATTTAATCTGTTGAAGTTAAATGGAATTGTTACATTTCCAATCACCAGTATATAGGTTGGTTTGCTCACCTTGTAGTTATACTCTGGTAGATACGCGCCATCGACAATCTTGTAAACCTCGTGAATAGTTTGAAGTTCCTCAGAGTATTCCGTGACGAAGTAGGTACTATTCAAAATTATATTGAATCCTTCTATAGTACCATTGGGGTAATGGGGATGCCTCCAGATTATGTTTAAATTGCAGTAGTCATTGCTTTCGTGGCAGTCAATAACCTGGTGAGTTACATTCTCGGGCATTGCGGGTACTGCAATATCATGTGAAACCACTCAACCAACAACTCTTTGAATATTACCTCTATCAACAGTTTCAGCTAAAATTTCAGTTGCCTTCCCAAACCTATTGGTGTTAGCGTTTTTAATGCTGACTTTGAAAGTAAAGTTCTGATTAGGCATCAAGTAATCAACATCAAGGCATAGTTTCGTTGGCCAAATGGTGCAATTAGTTATCTTCGATATGGTGGATTTACACTTGGCTCGAGACAAAACGTTGCATTTAGTTAACTCCACTTCAACTGGGATCCCTTCGGAGGCTAAGGGAAGATCATAGCGAAGAGATGCTGTATTTGATCCCATAGCGTATAGTTCCAAGTTTCGCACAGCAGGCGCAACTAAACCAACATATATTTGAGACCATATTTCATTAGAGACCAAATTACCTTAACTTATATTAATATAATAATGCGATGGGATATAAATGGGAAAAATATATAAAATTATTTCAGATCTATGAAATCCGAAAACAAAAAATCTGTGAAATGTAAAAAATTTATTTTTATATCCTAAATGTGAATATTGAATTAAATGATGGAAATGTAATACTTATGTAAATACTTAAATCAGTTTATTTTTATGAAATTGATATGAATGAAGTATATCCAGTAAAAACGTAAGTCCGGACTATATTTAAAAGAGTATTTTCTTAGAGATCACCACATCACTAAAATGCGATCTATATTGTATAATAATAATAATAATAATACTAAAATACAGCTAGAAAACCCTACGTAGACTCAAAGTACCCGCGATGCAACGACACTGCCTGGTTCTACCACCTAAAGAACATTTAATACTAATATTATAATTTTAAACATTAAAGTGCATATACGTAAACCTAAATTTTGAAACATATATCAAACTAAATTCTAACAGTAGCAATCTTGTTATTGGAAGTTCGATGGCAACTTTTCTTGTTATTTGTTACTTCTAGTGTTTTGATGTATTTATTTTATATTGCATTGTTTTATCGTATCGCTAGAAGCCCCTGATCAGCTTGATATTGTACATTTTCCATATGTGGCGTTTCATGTACAGCATATCTAGATACCTATATTAGTTGCGAATTGTTTGAAATCTGGTTTGTCTCAATAAAATATTTAAAAATTGACGTGTTTGATTCAACACAGTTTTTGTCTTCGTAGAGACAGTTATACAGCCCGTGTGATTTTTTCAATTATGTTTTACTGTATTTTTGCAATTTAATAACTATGTGCCTTTAAAACGTTTATAGTTTACTTCATTTTGTTTAACATTATTATACAGTTTTATTAAATACATTTTAAAATATGACTAGAGTCAAGAAGTGGCAATAGACTGTTTAGTGACGCCCGTGTACGTCGTTTACGGACGTCATTTCACCGTCATATTGCCTTGTTAATCACATCGATAATTCGAAACCAAATTGTTCGTGTTGACATGCAATCACGTCTGTTTCTCGTGATTATTACGTGTTGGCCATCTGATAAAATTCGGAATCGAGTGTGTTCACGCTATATCACACATTTAGGTAAATCAACTCTGCACTAAATTTTGGTTCAAAATAAAACTAATTAAATAAATTCGTGTTGCGGATTGTCCTCGGAGCAATGTTCGTAATTGTGAGACTTGGTAATACGGATTTCTACTTCATACATACATTCAATAAATAAAAATTAGTTAGGACGACTTCCACTTTCCCAAAAGAATACATTTGCTTGTAATAAATGACTCCATATTTGACAAATTTGGAGCCAGTTCAAGGAACGTACTCATGATTCATGGTCGAGATTGTACACGTTAAGCTTTGAGGAGTACATTTGAAAATTTACCAACAAACTATTATTTTTAGTTTTTCATAGAAATATAATAACATTTTTTTTTTCATTTTAAATAAACATTGCTGTGTTTTAGTGTAGCGATTAGCTACGCTACAAGGCTGCGAAATGACCATTTCAAACTTTCTATAGCAACGTTGAAGTTTCATCTCTAGTTCACGTGTATTTACTGGCAATATTTGATAGCTGCATCTCGAGCTACCTACTAGGTTCTATCATTATTTCTTGTTGCTTAAAAAATAAGGACTTAATTTACTAATACTCACCACCAGGAAAAGTTGAAAATTCATACGTCAAAGTTTGAGTATGCCGACCGTTATTCAGGTTCATCGCATTTCTGGCGGTAACAACTGTTAAATTATGTTTAGTGTATGATTTCAAACCGTGGATCAGATGGCTATTTGAGGTTTCATATTCCAAAATCTTTTTAAACTTCAGTTCATCGTTGGACACAATGATATTGTAAATCAGGTTTCCATAATGCAATTCACAGTTGGGGCTATCCCAAGAAATGTTTACTGATGTATCGAGAGGCTCGATGCGCATTTTAAAGGGCAATTCTTCTAATATTGGCTCGACTAAAAATTAATCGGATGTTTTAGTTGGAACTTTTACAATCACGATTTGAGTACATGTGCTTGATATTAAACTTATTTGCGTGCTTCATTACTGCTCGTAAAAATTGATATACACAGAAGTAAAATTACTAATATAAAAATCTACATTGTTTAAAAAAATAACATGTCTGATTGTATTTATTTCTTGAAAATTATTTAAAAGTAGATGGTTTCATTAAACTTTTGATCAATTAATTTTTGCTGTTAGTTTAATTTGTTTTAATTGCACCTTTTCAAATAGGTATGCCTGATTTTTGTTGGTAACTTGCAACACTTTTTAGGATAAGCATTTCGGTAAAAATTAGGGCAATATATTTAAATTGAAGCCAATAGATAATAATTAATCATAGTATAAAGTTACTAATTAAGTTTAATTACGCCAAAACACTAAATCGAAAAGCAAATTAATTTTTATTCAAATTTACCTGTCTCTAGAGTCCTGACACGTAACAGCTTATCTTTGCCATGTAGGACAGAGGATAAAGTAATGTTATATAAAGTGGAAGGAATTAGCTTTGAAAGAGTAACTTCGTTGAGATTTGTCCTTAAAAATCCACTCGATTTAAGTCGTGGTGAGTTACTGACATCTGGACAATCCGTGTTTCCCTGCAAGGCAATCAATTCACGCAAATCATTTTAAGGCTTTAGCCAATGAAAATAATAATGTCGACCAGATCTCTATTGATGAAGTCATTTCCCCAACAACTTTAATGCTATTTTAAAACTGTATAAAGCAAACCTGTGCAGCATCCAGTTCTCCGCAAAATGAAATTTTTGACCTTAATTGGAGTGGAAACATATCCGATAGTTAATTTGTCTTCCGAATCTATATATTTCTGTTCCACAATTATTTGAGGAACAAACAATCAACGTGTAGCCTGCTAATAATTTTTAAAAAGCTTATAATAATTATTTTTTATATTTATAGCAGTCGAAGCAGTTCGAAAGAGATAAAAATTATAGTTATTAAGAATTCCTTATAACTCATAACTTTAAAATAGATACGGAAATATAAATTTAATCCCAGTTTTTTTGTGGCCGCAGGGTGTGGAGCTGTTTGAAAATTTAGAAGGCGTGTGAAAGCCAACAGGTGGATGGAAAAAAATTATTTAAAAATATCTCTTGATTTTTATTGCAATCAAATCATGGTTTTGAAAAATATTGAAATCGGCCAATTTTCGTTGAAAAAAATCTGTATACAAAAGCCTAGACCTTTAGAAAAACGTAGCATGTTGGGGGGTATTTTGGCGCTGTATCGATCGACAATTCAAGAATGCCACTTTTGCGGTGGGGATTAGATGAGTGCTGAAGGGTGGAAGAAGTTCTCTTTTGTATTGTTAGCCCGACGCACATTGAGCGCTTTCCATAAGCGTAGTTAACCAATATGTACAAGAGCGGAAATCAATACAAATTTAATATATATATTACTTGGCCTTACTACAACTTTGCGCCATTTAAACGTAGATAAAAGCAGGTGTAGTCGTACCACACCCAAAACTTCTAATATTCTTATATGATTGTGCCAAATTGTTCTCATTTTCCTTTTTCGTTGGATCACTCTGTATATGACATAGACAAAGATAAATTATGTACAAAGTAACGATTGTGTTCATCAAAATATGCAATCACATGTACCCGCTTAATATGAGATTTTCCCCCAAAAACTCAGTGCCTTTTACCGGTTCTATTAGTCAGGGTTTTTGTATTTGTTCCATAAGACCGACAAACTCTTAAGGGTGGACTTGGACATAGACAAACCTACTTTGTTTCATACGTATCTACAAAAGCATAACTTTTACAGGCTTTTAAAATTCCTAAAAACTCCTGTATAACCAACATATCAAAAACACTTCGACCGTTTTGCCAAACTGTAATAAAACAATTTGATATAAGGCCTAATAATCATAAACATAATTGTAAAAAAATGCTATTCCAGTTGCTTTAATTAAAAACGAAAACACCCTGTTTTGCGATAACAATAAAATACAAATTAGTACATTACTATTCAAGTATCGCCTGGTTGTGCATTCTTACGTACTTTCATTAAAAAAAAAAAACATACCTGATAAAATATAAAATAGGTAATATAGTGATCCGGATCCTCTTCGGCCCAAGTCAGCGTTATAGACGTATCGTTTGCTGCAGTTTTAATCGGGGGAAAGTCTGAAAATATATGATCTACTATCATAATGAAAGAAGCATTATCAGCGCAAATCTGTTAGTACCTTCTACGGCATCATAATCTAGAGATTCAGGTCTAAAGTTTGGCTTCTTGATAAGCTGACAAGAAATGTCAGTAACACTTGTATCATCCTCGGCAAAGGACTGGTTGAGATGTAAAAGGGTTGTTTTGACCTCTGTAAAGGGACGTAATTAACAACCGTTTCAGTAACAACTGATTAATTCGATATTAATAGTATATTACGGTACAAGAGACGAAGTCACAAGTCGAAGTTTCGCCACTGCTTAAAATTGACGCCCTCGGTTTCGCCTCGGGCGCATGCACGCAGTGGCGGGCCTTCGACTTTCGTCTCGCGTACCGTATATACCGACCGATACAAAGTGTTAAAAATAAGTTTCAAAATGACGTTGAGACAAACTTTTTTTTGAAAATTTTATCTTATAATAGTATAAAATAATAAAAGTGAATTCGAGTGGATGCATCTGTCATTTTTTACATAAAATTTCAAATATTTAAGAAACGGTTAGACTTAGGAATATATTGTACACGAACTATATTTAGAATTTAGAGTAAAATCCAAAAATCAAGTAATCTATAGGGTGTTCCATTTAAAATAAGCAAGTTGATACCTACTTCCGGTATAACCAGTATCTTAAAAATATTTTAGATTGCTTGCTCTCAACGACACACCGTCCAATTTTCAACCGTTTCCGTTGGGACACCCTGTATAGAATTTTGAAAATATTGGCAAAACAGTCAGTGACAAACAGTCAAGCTGTCAGCTTGCGTGGCGAAAAGTTTTACTTTCCACACGGGACAAAGAAAATGTAATTGCATAATGGACGCAAAGGTAAATTGTCATTGTCATGTCATTGTAATGAGTAAAAGTGATTCTTTCGCTATCGAAAACAGTGGCGAAAATGTGTACTTTCCACAAGGGAGAAGAAAATATAGTTTGCTCAACTCTTGTAAAAGCCATTTAATATTACGTGTCTAGTGGCGTCACCAAAAGTTAATAAGAATGTTTGGATGGCTGGTTTAGGGCTGAATTAAAAACTCCTCTTATACTCTAAAAGTGGGCGACGTTTCGACCCTCTGTTCAGGTCTTTCTCAAGACTAGAAAGACAGATGATAGTCTGATGCAGCCACTTGGGCAGTCAACTAACTATATTCAGTGATCAAACGACGCCAATAACCACCAAAACCTATTCCTATTTCATATAAAAATATGAAATAGTAGATATGAAAAAAAATATTTTTATTGAAATAGAGAAAGAAATAAAGTAAATAGGTAAAGAAAAAAACCTGTGGCAGTTATGAAACATATGATATGGCCAAATGTTAAAAGGGAATATAATAATATAGGGCTGAAGGTGTTTGTAGTGGGAATGTCAGCCCTGGAAGAGAGGGAAATCGTCCCCACCCCCCATTCCTTTCAAGGCCGCCTCCTCTGGGGAGCAAGGGACACAGACTATTGATCAGTGTTCCTTTGCAAACGCATCACGAATTTTTATTTGTGCTTCAGCCTTTCCTGCCACATTCATATCCGGATAAGGTGTGTATTACCTAGACTTTGTGCCACTTTGTAAATGTAAAAGTTTGGTGAACTAGTCGTAACAAAGTGATTTTTTTAGTAGTCAAAATGACAAAGTTAAACCAGGAAGCGGGTGCATCAGTTAAAGACAGTTCAAATAAATTACCCCTTGATGCTAATGTGCTGATGAGTCGGGTTTGCAAGCTGGAGGAGCACTTAAAAGCCGGGCTAATTGAGCTGAAAAGTGCCGTTTACGGAACCGAAGAGGTGAGAACTCCTGACACATTGAGCGAATGTGCGGCGAGGATAACAAAATTTGAAACGCACGTGAAAGAAGAAATAGCTAAAATTAAATCAGCGCTCGTACAAACGGATACAAAACTAGATGACTTGCATCAACGGATGTTATCCAATAACTTAATATTTTTCGGAATCCAAGAAAAAACAGAAGAACGCGTAAAGACAACAATTTGCGAAACTGTTAGGGATCAGCTGGGATATATCATTGGCTCAAAAGATATCGATTTTAGTTTTCGGTTGGGAAAACTTGGATCACATCATTGTCGGCCCATATTGGTGGGTTTTGTAAACCGGTGGGTACGCAACGACATTTTTTCTTCAAAAAGTTTGCTAAAGGGCACGAAGATTGTCATTAAAGAAAATCTTACACCAAGTCGTTTGAAACTATTCAAGGAAATATCTGGTTTGGTGGGATTTCGAAATTGCTGGACAATGGGCGGCAATGTATACGTAAAATTCGGAGACACAAGACGACAGATAAAAGAGATTTCCGACTTAAAGGAATCGGATTAGAAGACGGAAACTTGCAGTTACAAGTTTCCGTTTTTCGAGGCAATTCAGTTTTTAACGTTGTCTGTCAATGTTGCACAAATATTTAACTTTATGTCGTTTGTGTGCACATTGTTGCAATCAAGAAATGCAGCAATTTCAAATCTGTCCCACATTTGCTGTATATATTTACATTTAGAACGTAAAATGTTCAAAATATTTGTAAGGGGGTTTTCAATGGAGAATGAAAGATATCTGTTAAAGTAGTATTGCAATTCAGATCAGAAGTTATTAAAAATTGTGTCAACTATTTTCCATAGAAATAAATATACATATATATTTACACCGATATATTTTTTACTGATATAAAGCCACGGCTGAAGCAATTAAGCAAACGATTCCACATGTTTAAACATCCACAAGCAATATTGTACATATTTATAATTAAATAAAGATTCTCAAGAGAAAACGTTTGTACTTCATTAGTTTTAACTGAGTCCCTACTGTGTTAAGTTTATATATAGAAAAAAATCACCAAAACCAAATTAAGTATTATGCTTATTTTACGACTGAAAACTTGTATCACTAAACATAATTCCCAATGGGTTATTTTGTTGGCTTAAACCGTTAATATTTTAGTGCGAATTTCAAAAATTGAGGAAGTTTCTGAGTACTTTTGCCGACGTTTCGACCCTTTATCGGGGTCATCCTCAGGACAAAGTGACAAAGTTAGAAAAAAAGTCGCTGAATTAGTTCGAACTGAAGTAATAGTTAGCATTGCAAAGCCTTAATAAATTGAAGAGCTCTTTCCTTTTCTGTACTTCCTTTTTGCAACAACTGCGTTTCAAATTAGGACTTCAACACTAATATTCGCGCTTACGTGTCTTCGTTGACCAAACCTGTATATTTTTGTATATAATTTAGCACGCAATTAAACTTACCATTTTCGTTGCAGATTCTAACTTCGTCATAACCCCACCAACCTTTAGTTTCATTCTCTGCTTGACTTGAAAACTCGGTTTGAATGAAAATGTTAAATCGCTGAAATTTGAAGTTTTCTTGTTTCAGCTTAATTTCGATCCACTTGTAATTCTGAAATAAAATTGCTGGTATTATTTTTCAACGAAAGTGAATATTAGGTTAACGATACTATGGCGAATAATAAATCAAATAAAGTTATTAAATCAAGTATGATTGTACATTTCCAGCACTTGATGAAGTTCATTCAGCAATGGACCGAAACATTCCTGCAACCTTAGTATCTTTACAAATTATTTTAATTTGTTGCTTGATTTTTGGAGTATTTTTTGTGTTTACCTACGTACTCTATGTAGTAATCCCTTGTTCTGCTTTTTGTGATATTTTATTTTTTATTACGATTAAGTACACTGTTTTTGACCAATATTTTTTTCGCACTGCTTGTTTTCAGTGTCTACCTTTTCCTTCTCAGTAGAATATTTTTTTCGATCTTAGCAGTATGTTTTCTTCTCTAAATCCGATGTTTATTCTCCATTTCACGCCGAAATACAGGAAAACAGACATCAGCAACAATCATTTTTCTAACTCCAGATATTAGAAAATAATAGATTTCTTGTAGTAATAAGTAAGTAAATATAGTTCTTTCGTAGTTAATTTTTAAACTTTGGAAATATTTGGGCGGTTTTGTATTTTTACATTAAGCTCACCCAAAGCTTTTCTCTAAATAATCGCTTCAGATATGAGAATTTGTAATACAACAAGCATCAGCTTGCTGGTAGTGCGGATTTGGTTCCGATTAAACCATTGATTCCTTCACAAGAAATTTTCAGACTTTGGGAACATTTTGGGGGTTTTATATTTTTCCATCTGGCCCATCTCAAGCTTGTCTCTAAAGAACCACTTAGAGATATACAAATATGGGTTCCACTTTTATGTCTTTTGTCAAAAAAAGGCAAGAGTTTTAGCTTTTCCTGTTTTATTATTATTGCAAAATCGACTGAAACATGACGCCGCGTTTCTCGACGTTGCTCAAGATCCATTTAAGCCACAGAGTCCGTTTTTTACATTGGATAGATAATGCAAAACTCGATTCAGTTATAACAACGTGCGTGAATAAATTCTGGTAGATTTGTAGCAAAAAGTCGCAAAAATTTGAATATAAGACATTTAGGTGCAAGTTTACGCCAAAATTTCATCAAAAAATTATCTTTTACAAAATGTCAATCTTTAAGGTCAAGTTTCTACAGACTTTACTTTGAAAGTTGGAATTTTTTATTCAAGAATCTGCAGTTGCGTAAAACCGTTCATTTTTAAATCAATATTTACTAAGCACGAAAAATTCAGGATTTACGTGATTTGAATGATTTTTTTTAGTTTTGAAGACATTTAGAGCGCACAACTTTGAACTGGTAGAGCATTTTCGGTGGCTGAGAAATTTATTTTTGAAAAACTAAATTCGATAAATGCCCCGCAATAGTTCGTACGAGCGTTCATGAATACAATTTTCGAATTATATTTTATCGGTTGAAAATCCAAATGAAAAAACTGACGAATTCCAAAATCTTAATTCCCAGATGTTGAAGAGAATTGACTGAATTAGTGCTCAACTCTCATCTTCCAAATAAAAACAGACTTAATTGCTGCTGTTAAGCATTATACAGTATAATTGTACTGCTTTAAGCAGTTACAGACATCATTCGGAAGTTCAGATACGGCATCTTTCACTTTTTTAGATGAATTAATTTATCTTTATTGATCCTGCGAGGATCTGATCGGCATAAAGCTTGAACTCATAGAATAGGTACTTTTGACCCCGGTGTAATATACTGTTTGGCAGTATTAAGGAATCAACATTTATTCTGATTACTAGACTACCAACTACCTCTCTAATACCGATGCAATGAATAGAAGTAGAAGCAAAGCGTCAAATACATACCGTGCTGGGAACAAATTTCAGTTCTTGCCTCGTTGTTCCATTCATATAGAAAAATCTCATTTGGCAATGACTGCAACTCGCCACAAATAAGGAAATGCACAAATTGACGTATGAGCTTCGGATTTGTGGTCCTAGTCTGGAAATTTGAACCGTCTCTGTATACATAAAATTGTCTGGAATAAAGTTAAACATTGTTTAGTCTCAGAAAATTATAATGTTATGTTTCATACTTAGGACAAAATTCCAGAATAATTTAAAAAAACTGTCCTTAGGAACAGCTTTCAAAAAACTATTCTTATCTTTTTTATCATATCAATCAACAATATAATGTTATACTTGAATATCCCACAAATTTTGCAAACAACTTTCTAACTACTTTAGAAAACGACAAATATTTTGATGCAATTTTTACAATGGTTTGTGGACCAATATAGAAAAAAACTCGAATGAGGATACAATTTTAATTGCACAGGAATAAAAAAATCTTAAATTGCATTTCCGGTGACTGGCTGACCGTCCAATTTACCGAACGGTTGTTGACGATGATGCAACCATAACATTTAACATTGAAATTAACGGCTTCGTTATTGTATTGCGCCGAAGGCAACAACCTTTTTAAATCTAAATTTTAATGAAAGTAAAATAGTAGTTTTCCTATACAATGGCACACCTTATTTTAAGCGAAAATTTATTTTATACATTTTTACAACAATAAGCGGTTGTGAGTAAATATAAAACGTATTTTGTACGCAAATTAACCAAGTACCAAACCAAAAGAATAATGAGAAGGAATCTGAGACACCAGCGCAATTTTGGTTACGCAGTTACTTAATTAGGATTGAGTTTATTAAAGATTTCGATTCTTTTAAAACCACTTGTCATTTAGTATTGTGCGGTCTTCAATTTTTGTACCATCTAGAAAATACTATTGATTTGAGAGGTGTTCTGGCAGGTAGAAGAATAGGTTGAATATTGTTCTAAATCTATGTGTTAATTGTATTTTCAAAACCAAAATTGAATTTTTGGTAAAGTTTTCAAAGGTTTTTTGGATTCGTTGATAATGTGGTCTCTCAAATAATAGAGAAGTATGTATGTAAGGGCAGAAAAATAATAAACGACACAGTTAAGCACTTTCTAGTCGAGTATTAGATTATTAAAAACCCATACAGTTTTTAGCAGTTACATTACTAAATTTATTGTCATATATTTGCGGCGTAACTATCATATCGTCATGTAAAATACAAAATATTTTTCGCCAAAACTAGTTTGTCACTAAATAATTATTGTTTTCTGAAACAGAATGATTAAAATTCTGAACCATTTCATTGCATTGGTTGTAAAGAGACCTTTAGGGAGTAGAGAAAATATGTGTTTTGTTAGTTTTTCTCCAAGTATCAACAATCTTCATCTGAAAAATAAAATGTGCCAAGAAGGCAACTATACTTTTCCCATTTATTTGTACCAGAAGTTTTCAATATTTGTTTATTAATTAGTCTCACGATCGCGGCTTCCTGCATTAGGAAATCATGTAAATTGAATGGTGCTTTAACGTGATATCATACATAAGCGATGATTTTGTTAACTTTAATTTAAATACCATTGAAATTCGGTAGACAATTACCAATATTTGGTCAACTAAGTTTGAAAGCTATGATAATTTATTGACCAATGGCAGACCTTTTTAGGCCACTGTAAGTAAATAAACTGATTTTATCTGATTTGTCCAAGCAAACGACAAAAAATCACTTCATTATTGAATATTTAAAAAACGGTTTAAGGAATGTTGAACTTGTTTGCCTAATTCGTTATTTTGGTTACGGGTTTACATTGAAGTACGGTACCTATTCGAGACGCGTGTTGGTTTCCCAAACTGGGGATTTAATGCTGTTTAAAATTTAAACCCTATTGGTTTACTAATTAATAATAATTAATACTTTGGTAAGTTGAATGAAAAGTTAGCATAGCATTAAAAAAATCGACTTAAATTTTCACAATTTATTATTTTTTTATTGACACTTTTGCACTGTACATAGTGCATTTTGTTTCTACTGTTGTTGTCATCTTTGTCCTGATTCACCAGTTTTCATATGGCAGAGAAAAAACAATTTATTTCAGATTAAGTATTCCTTTGGTACCCAATCATTGAGTAAATCTACAAGAAGCATTCTTAAGAAGGTTTGTATTATTCCCTTACCGAATTAATAATAACATAATTTAAACCAGTTTTTGAAACTATATATGCAATGTTACGCATTGATGGGAAATAGATAATCTTTACTTCAGAATATCGTGGCATGTGGCTTATGGGAATTTAAAACCATTATTGATTTCAAAATACCTGTCGAAAGCAAGTTTCTGTTCCAGAAATGCAATGTTAACTATGTGTTAAATTTTCTAGAAATTATTTACCTGACTTCTACATCCATTTCAAATCGACTTTCTTGATGGAACGTACTTTACTTCAACGGAGAGTAAGGAATTCAAGCAAATTTTAAATTTATTTATTAGAAATTTGAAATTAGATCCTCGACTTTTATAGGATTCCAGACAACCCAGATTTTCCTCATTTACGATTGAAAAGAGCAACAAAAACACTGCACTGAGAAAAAATTTAATTTGTATTAAATATTGTATCATTATTTGTTCAAACGCACTTTGCCTTGTCGAAATACGCTTTTTCTCATGTTTGAACAAGAGGTGAAAACAACGATCTCTAGATAAAATAAATAAATAAATAAATAAATATAACTCTGCAAAAGCAAACATAGAAGCCAACAACTTAAATAACTTTAAATTAAGTACTGTTATACTAACTTTCAATAACCTTCCAGAAACTTGGTTCATTGCTTCGTAGTATCGCATACAACGGCTTTATAGGCGAAGAATCAATATGACTGATTAATAGACGATCCATGTTATTCTTATCAATTAAGGTAATATTTCCAGTGTCATCGACTCCAACTTCGAAACTTCGCCATTCATCCTCAGTGATAATATTCGTGGATATCTGCAAACGAGATTAGAACTAAAAAACATTTTTTCGTGTATGTTTAGGCATACTAGTGAGAAATGCAAATATGTTCTATCTATTACCATTGAAGCCATATACAACAGGAAACAATGGTAAATGAGGAATTACAATTTGCATTAATTATTGTTGCCAAATAATATTGTCTATAGCCAAACAAATATTTACTTCGTATTTAGTACTTAGTTAGTGAAGTATAAATTCATGATTCGTTAACTGCACGTCAATCATCTAGCGTTGTATTTCAATTTTTTTTTTCAGCGCCAGCTGAAACATTAATAAATAGCATAATTTTTTGCGCCTGACATTTTTTGACCCTTAGATCAGCCAACAATTTTCTGTAGACGTTTTATGCAAAGAGCAATGGGAATGACAAATTCCCTATTCTAAAGAGATAATCTCTTTACAGTTGCAACACAGTCAGCTTCGTGAGTGACTCCTGAATGACCTTTTAAATTTTAAGTTTTAGTAAAAGTGAATGAAATATCTTCATTTTATGTGAAGATGTGCGTTTGCAAATTAAGTTTGTCGTGTTCAGACATTTTTTTCTTTCATCTGTATAGACTTTATTTAATATGTTTCATACTTTACGGTCACCATGAATGCCTAGCTGCGTTTGTTTTATTTTAATTAACTTTTATCCAAATTTAATTTCAGTGTCTCTGTCAAACATTAACTTTTCCTGAATATCATTGCGCAAACCTTCAAATTACTAATTTTAAAATAGAAAGTAAAATTCTGATTTCGAACTACATATCTAATCGGCCTCGATTATGGGACGTACGACATAGATAATAGGTGAGTGTAGCACAAACCTAAATAATACCGATCTATTTTAAGATACATGCAAGTGAAACGATAAAACCAAATTGTGGATTATAAATGCATTTAATGCCCGCATTTAAAAATATTATCGTTGCCAGTAGCTTAAAACTGTTTTTTTAGCTTTTTTGCAAATGCAACCTAGACTTAGTTAATTCCAGGATCAACGTGTACAACAGATCTTTTTTGAACAACCCGCTGATAAAAACAATTACAAATACATACAATATTCGTGTTGAAGAATTTAAAATAATTTTGAAATTTGAGCAATTACTGAAATTTCTATTTATAGCATAAAATTTATTCAAATATTTATAATTTACAGCTGTATGTTTTTCAGTTTCTGAAAGACAAACAATAACCAAAATTGTACTCTATGTACTCTATGTATGTACTATGTCTTAATGGTACTCTCATGTACCATTAAGAAACATCATTTGACGGATTTCCAACAAAAATAACCATTAGTTCTAATAAAAGATTTCCCAACCTTTTGTATTTTTGGCGAACTTTTATTTTAATAACCAATAATAAAAACATATTTGTGTGTTTTTGAGTGATGGCGACCACTTGAGCAAGTGGCTTCAGTGTTTAATAGGTATCTTATCGAATATGTATAGTAATGTATACCTATTTGATACTGAGTCGCTACTAAATAAAAGCTGTGAAGTCAAATCTGTTATTAAATTCGACTAAAATGCTGAGGCGGCACTTTATTTAATGCAAAGCGTCTGGCGAACTGAGACATTTCAGATGCATTTCAGTTAGATTGCCAACAGTGCAATAAATAAAAACCAGAAAACCAGTCCACTATTATTGAGGATTTCAAAAAAGCAGATATTTTTCGATATCGTATTAAAAAGTTAAAACGCCAACATAGAAATTAAATATATGAGCAAAAGCTATCCTTTTTCTTCTGGCAAAATATTGTTTCCAAGAATTAAATTAGTAAAACGAATTGAAGTTCTGAATTAATGAGGCCATTTTTTCGTTATCTCTGTTATCGGGCATCGGCCTACTGCAGCAATATAAAGCCTTAGTTATAATACACGGTAAGACGTCCACATCCTAAGAACATCCTCTTTTTAAAAATGTGATTTTTAGATCAATCAAAAGATTCAAAAGATTTAGAACCTCCAACAAGCGTTATGTACACCATGGTGTAGTTTCAAAAGAGGCTAAAAAGACTCTTGAAAGAGTTCAAACTTCAATGTTTGGCATAAAAAAGCCAAAAGACAGATAATTCTAATGCTATAGGATTAAACGCTGCACAAGTTATATACGAAACGATAGACAGTAAAATGATTTCGCTAGTTTTCTCCATATTGATATATGTACATATTCACAAATTTAAATTATGGGGTTCCTTGTGGGGTGCAATTATTACTAACTAACTAACTAACTTGTCGACTCGATCAAAATGGACCAACTAGTCAGCTTTTCAATCAACGTTTGATGGTCCTTAGTTAGTAAGTCAGTGCGAAACTCTTTTTTAATTTCATAAAAAGTAAGTAAAAAATTAACTAATAATTAAAGATAATTTAATAAGGACTTTGGTATGCAATTTTTGGGTTTTGATGACAGTTACATTACACGATGCATTGTTACTGAACTAATTAATTTAAACAATAAAGTATTATTTATCATAAGAGAGGATTTTATTGCATATTCAATTCTGTTTCTCATTTTAGGCTGATGTTCAAGTGGGTTTTTTTATGTCATTCGTATATCATTTCATAGGCCCCAATTTATGTAATAACATCTGGAAGTCTTATAAAACTCTAATTGCTTACATATACATGAGTATGTATGATGTATGTATAACTATGTACTAACCTGGGAAAATTCTAGATACGAACTGCTGTAGTTCATATCTGATGGCATGGCGTCGTATTTATTGAGATAAATTTCATGTTTGTCTAGGTGAAAGTAATAACATGGATAGTTACGAGGACTCCAACCAGTACACAAAATAATTTCCACAGACCCAAGAGCTCTAACGGAGAAACCAACTGTGCTGGCATTTTCCAAGTGAAATCGTTGTTCGAATTCTGTTGATGCATTGGTAAGCACGGTAGGAAGATCTGCAAGGAAACATATTTATTAACGACAAAGCAATTTAACAGTAAAAAATCGCTTCTCATCTACATTTTGGATATTTGGATGATTTTGGATTGCTAATGTACAATGTATTGAAGAATTTTAAATAAATGCTTGTGGGAATATACCAGAAATTATGCAACTTTTTGGAAAAACAGTGTTTGGTATTATCAAACTAACTCAACACAAATCTTCAAGAATCTTCGCTACACAGCCTAATTATTTTTTTAGTATCTATCAAAAAATCAATGATTTCTAACCGATTTTTAGGATTCAAGTTCTTCTTACACCTTTGTTAGACGGGTCTCCCAATACAATAAAATAAAATTGTGTTTTATTCGCATAGACTTTTGCAATAAATAGGATCGAAAACTAACAAGAGGCTAAAGTAATTTGAAACATCTAGTAACTTTTACTTTTTGGCTAAGAATCCAAACTTATATTGAAGCGTAATAACGGTTGAAAGTTTAACTTGAACTTTATAATAAAGTTAATTTAAATTGCAATTTGCAAGTTTTATTTATTGGTTTTTGGTGTAGCCAAGTGAATAAAGAACGGTTCTATGTACTCCTGATGGAAATTAAAAGCCGCATTTAGTTACATACTTTCCGGGAAACATAGCACACACTCACTAAAGGTGTATCTTGCAACTTTAACACGAGTGGTAATTTATCCTTAAAGGTTAATTAATGTCAATTTTCCAAACATTTAAATGTATTTGGGGCTCCCAAGTCATCTATATGATTGATTTTCTCAATCAATTGGTTGTTTATTGCAAGAAAATTGACTGGCGTTGGAGCATTGGGGACATAAAATGATGCGGGCTTTAAACTGTTGATTGCGGTCATTCCAGAACAGGCGGGGCCTGATTAATAAGACTTTATAAGTATCAGATGTACTGGAATAATTACCGCGAAACAAGCATAGAGGTCTGCTTTGAACAGATACTTTTAAATAAATACCTAAGGATTAACTAGTAAGAAATGAAGATTAAATTTAAAGGTGAATAAGCTTAGTGTTATCAATAGTTAAGCAATATATCAATAATTTATCAGTTTTACCTGAATTCGTTTTTCTTCCCAACTTTCTACTATATTCAAATGGAAGCTGAAGGTAACAATGACGCAGGACACATTTGTCTCTAATAAAAGCGACACTAGCACTATATTTTTAATTTATTTTTTTTTTCACATCACCTGAGCCCTCCCATTTACCGATTTTTCATTTTAACTATCAACATCAATTACTTTACTTCTTGCTAGATAATATATTTACTTGTTTGCTTACATTTAACACATTTAAAAATAAAGAAAACATATTAATAATTTATTTACTATTATTATTAGATTTTGAGAATTATATCGGTAGGTCGCTCAATAAATTTTTTGTTCATTATGATTATTTTAAGAATACTAACAAGCTATTTCAACCCTTGGATATATCATCAATTTATAAAATTTCTATATTGAGAATACGATTTGAAAAATTAATTTATATTCATTTTTCGAATTGAGATGAACTGAAGACCTAAGATTCTGATGCAGAATAGCCATACATATTGGATAAAATGTGGGAATGTTATAAGCAAAATAACTACCTTAAACGTGGTTGCTAGTTATACAATCAAAACAAAAAATTATTTTTTTGCAAAAAAATGGGTTGAGAGCGCATTGTGAAGTTTATGCTGTAGCATTATTTTTAAAAATTTAAGGGACTCATATTACGGTGTCTGAAAGCAATATTTCGAAAATATCGCTTTTAAAATGCATAGATATTTATTGTACCCAGAAAAACCCATACCGACGTTTTCCATTGTTAATTGTTCTGTAAACAAAATAATTTAGAAAAAATTAAAACTTGACACTCACTATACAGAAACAAGCAAGCATAAAAATTTACTTTAAAACATATTATTACCTTCCCATCTGTTGTCATCAATAAATTGTCTTGTTCGCCAGGAAGTTTCATCGATTTGCCAATCCTTAAGTGTCCACCTAAAGTTGCACTTGTCATTTTTGGAAAACTTGCAGTTATAGTCGTTGTCAATAGATGGGATATATTTGACCGCTGAAACAAAATTTTACCTATGAGTCATTAAAACCAAGTTCTTCAATCCAATAGATTAGTTCAAATTTCTTCTAAAACTATACATAAATGCTCTACTATCAGTTAATCAGAAGTAGATCGTACATATTGTTCTGCACTGGGCTCGTTATTAAGTCCTTTTAGAAATACATGCATTTCTTTAAGTTTCAATGCACATGAAAACTAATTTGTTATACTATTGCCGAAAACTGGAATTGCTCAACTGTGTAGAAGGCTAAATAAATACATCTAGGTATTGAAACATTCAGTGCAAGCCTGCCCTGATTTTAAGTCGTAAATGCCAATCTAATAAAAGCTTTCATGTACTTCAAAGCAAACGCACTTTAAAGTGCACCAACTGAAATGTTTTCTAAAGTCGTGAATTAAGTTTAGCTTTTGCAACGATATTTTTAAAGAACGTGTTTTGCAAAAAAATACCACATGCAACTAATTTTAATACTTTTAAAGATCACAGGGAATACTCTATTAATAGGATACAGACTGTACACTTTAAATGTATTAGATAATAGAAATAATAGTAGAGTTAGAGGTAAAAATTATCCAGGCTTTCTTTATTCTGAAACTTGGCAAGTTACACGCTATTTTCATGTTTACTGGTTTACTCCAAATGTTTCTAAATAGATCTGCAAGTTATCTGTATCAAAATACTAATTTCAAAATGTACTGATTAATAGAAAGACTGTGCTAAATAGAAGATATGTTAGCTGAACGCTGGGGAGAAAAAGCGTGGACTCCTAATTTTGATCAGTTTTCAGTTCTTGAAGAAGAACTCGAAAGGAGGCAAATTTTGTAAGCGTTTTACGCTATAGTAGATTAAAAAAGTGGGACTTCTTCTTGGTCTCAATATTTCTAGTTTTCTGATCTAGTTCGACGAATGGCGATAGACTAAACCGTTCTTCCAGATTACACCAGACAAGAAATCCTACGTGTGAGCTTTCGTTGCTGAATTTTATATTTAGAGTTTTTTTTATGGTAAACAAAACTTCCATTTCTTTGTTCATTCTTCTCCAAGCTTGCTCACTTGTATCTCTATCCACCCAGCAGATCCTTAGGTAGATGAGGTGAGACGGTGATTTTCATTTTTTTTATCAATTCTTTAAACATGCAAATGCTTAGCTTTTTTTCAACAGATCCCTTGCCAAGTGTTGACTAATTGTGATTTGTTTTTAAATCTTTGAATATTGCTTAAATTATTACTGTGTTTTTATGTCATAGCACTTTTTATGCACCAACAAGAAAATTGTAAAAACTTCGTTTATTTTCTTGCGGTTTCGACTCGATGATGAATACACACTATTAAATGCAGAGCAATAAACACGTAAGCTAAGCTAAAACCGAGTCGGATATCAAATATGAGATTGAAAAAATGTACTTAATCAACAAATTGTCGGTGTTTACCGACGCGAGTATGTATTTTCAAGCCTAGTTACAATCAAACCTCTAGTGCTGCTTACTTAAGTTTTACGAAACTAGGCACCGCTCGATAAGAGCATGATTTCCTCTTAAGAACTGGCCAACTCGTATGGATGAATATGCCTCGTATGGCCTTTACAATAGAAACGTACAAAATATATTTTAAAATTTTTCAAGGAAATTATAATATTGGTCGCATGAAAAATAAAATTATCAAGTTTTAAAAGCTTAATTTTTTTGGGAATAAATAGGAAACTTTAACAAAAATGTGAGCGACCTGGGGTTGTACAATTTTCGTGTGTATGGAATTAAATAATACCAATTTATGTATTTTATAATRRGTTCTMAAAAACTWGTTGGATGTTACTTTGTAATTAGTAATTACTCTATATTARTAGCAAAAACYTAAAAGTAAGGATTTAWYARRCGAATACAGCTAGACGGATTAGCTTYTAGTCTATAAGTTAYATCGTTATATATAARTTCTCAARTAAAAAATCGYCATTTTAAAGCAAGTAGTTATTTATAAATACTTGATTTTAGCATYGCAATACTTGATAATTGCAATATTTYCTTCTTATCACTGCCCTTATAGTGGTTGTGTTTATCGTACTTTTAATACTGCCATAAAACTGATTGAATTATGTGTATGTTCACAAGTTTTAAATGGGGAATTGTTCCCAATATCCAAATAACATTTCCTAACTGGAGCAGACAAAGACATTAATATTTCAACAGTTTCTATCGAAATACTGTTCAACTTTTATTCTTTGAACATAAAGTTAAATCTTATACTATGCGTATGTGTTATTATACCAACTTGTTCTTAAAATTGACGAAAACTGACCGAATGTAACGATGGGTTAGCTTTCGAATTTAGTGAGAGATTCAGTTGACTGGTCGATTCATATTTGTTTGTTAAAATAAATATCGGCAGCAGTTTGAGAGTGGAATGATGTTATTTATGGTGCCGTATTCAGAATCACTTTAAATATTCAAATTAGGTGTTCTCTGTTTATACGTATTACGTCGTTAACGCAAAGGTAATAAACGACGGATCGAGCGTGTCCCTGATTATCYGTGTGTTTYCCATTTAATATACATGGTGGTTATACYCAGGCATTCCTCTGGATGTGGTATGACGGAAGTATGGAAAGATAGAAATAATAATAATTCAGTGAATGAATCAGGAATCTAGCCATAATACAGTTTCGCATTTGCAAATGACGTTGTTTCAAAAGCRAATTTTTTAATTTTGAATAACCAAAGCAATACTATAAATATCTGTCTCAATGCGTACATTCATTTAATCTGCGTCTTGTCMCTAAACTGCTCATCGTCTCTTGATAGATAACCTCACTTCACAACATCAGTTTTCTATTTTTTGCAAGACTTATGGCGGTTTGATATTAAAACTTAAAAAAGTTTTCTATTCAAGAAGTAGATAGAACGGTAAAGATGTAGCATTTCATCAAATTGTTACTTGATACGCATTTTTTTCAAAAGTTTGAGGTGCTGGAAAATCAATGGTTTTTATGCCTGATTCTGGCTCTTCTACCTATTAAAAATGTCTTAATCCTTATAAGTACTGGATTCAGCACCACTTTAGCAATCAACTGTTCCTTGGCGGTACTTTCAATTTCACTTCCTCAGATGATCCTTTTACGAGCAACACAGAACATACTGTCGAGTGTACGAGTCTCTTATGTAAAGAGAGGAATGTCGGAGGTGAGACGAATTTTCACTTTTAGGAAAAAAGTGAAATTCTTTTGCTGATCAAGCATTATTTTTATTTAAAAAAACATCAAATAAACGAAGGAAATACTATGGGGACTCG